GGAGGAGAAGGATTAAAGCGTGACCCTCCCTGCCAGGCGTGACCTCTCACTTCCTCTGTCTGGTGAGGGCGCTCTCCCTATGGCAAAGCTAGAGAGAGAAGGCAAGAAGGAAAGCCAGGTGCTGGGGTAAAGAGCACCACATTTTCGTACTCCTGGGAATATTGAAGAGGAAACCTCTATCGTGCATGTCATGGGGCAGGGGGCCACACGGCCGCACACACTCCATCCCCCGCTTCGCCAGGCGGCCCGGCACGCGCTCAGTCCGTGGGAAGCAGCTTGGGAGACGGATTCCGGGAAGGAGTCCCTTTCCTCTCCATCAGAAAGCAGGGTCCGAGTTAATTCTGAGAAAGGACAACTTGCACTTTACCTCGGCTCATTCACTTTAAGAAATAAACAGTGACCTAGCGATCGCTAAACACCCCCCAGTGTGCATGTGCGTGCGTGTGCATGAGTGTGTGTGTGTGTTACACGCAGCTCAGAGGTACGAGGGTATGAGAGAGGGCAGTTTGGACATGGTCAGTGGCCAGTTGCAGCAAGCTGAAAATGCGAGTGGTGCTTCTGTCCTAACTTAAAACAAAAGGGCACTGTAGGCCAGCTCCACGGCCCAGTGGTTAAGGAAGTTGGACTCCACGTGACCAAGTCTGCAGTTTGAATCTCGGACCCAGCACCTCAAAATGACACCACCCATGTGCCTTTGTGCCCCAAATCCCGCAAATGGGGACAAGGGATTGTGGCAGGACCATGCCCTGCTGGGCAGGGGTGCTTCTCTCACTTTCTCTCTCTCTCTCTCTCTCTCTCTCTCTCTCTCTATATATATCATGTACGTTCTGGAAAATATAAAAAATGTAGGTTCCATGTTAAACTCTGTAATGATTTGAAAAAAGGAAACAAGGATATGTTTGATTACAAAAAAAAAAAAAGTTATATATTTAAAGAAGACACCTTGGGGAAGCAAAGACAGAATATTCAAGAAAAAAAAACATATTTATGGAGCCAGCAGGTGGCGTGGTGATTGAGGCTCTGGACTCCCACATAACCAACTGTGGTTCAAGTCCCAGACCTGGCTGCTTGCTTTCTCATTTTCTCTCTCTCTCTGTCTTTCTGGTGAGCACATTTAGCAAATTTAAAACAATAATAATAGTAAATAAAATTAAATAAGTAATTCTTTTTTAAAAAAGTATGTATTTATTGTCACCTACATGAAGAAATATCATAGCCTACCTAATCAAGTTGGATGATAAATATGATCATATTTTAAACATTTTTCAAATTATTATTTGAACTCTCTTACATCCTGTTGAGAGAACATAGTAGTCAGTCTTGATGTTTCCTCTACATTAAAAAAACACCCAGAGTCCTGGGGCCAGCAGTTAGCATAATGGCTGTGTCGCTGGACTCCCATGTAGTTGACCGTGGTTCGAGTCCCAGACCCAGTGGCTTAAACTCACGCCGGGCACGTGTGTGTGCATGCCCAAGATCCCGAGAGGAGAGTGGAGGTGCAGAAGGGACTGCGCCGTGGCCATCCCCTCTGGGGGGTGATTTCTCGCTTTCTGTCTCTCTCTCTGTCTGTCTGGCGGGCACACGTGCCCTATAGCAAAATCCTCTCCAAAAAAAAGGAAAAACAAAAAAACAAAAAAAACCCAGGGTCCTGAACTCAGATCAAAGGGAGTCAAAACAGCAAGCAGAAAAAGCACTGTGACCGTCCTTTGACTTGCCTGACGGAAGGGGCCGTCCCCATAGCAGAGATGCCCAGGACGCAAGCTGTCCCCGGTGCAGCTTCAGCCACGGCCCCCTGCCCTGTGCTGACGGCGGTGCGAGGGCACTGGGGCTGGAGACCTGCCCGAGCTGGACTGAGACTGCTCTCCTGATGAATCTCTAAGGCCTCTTTATCACACCCAGGTCAGCAACCTAGACCCTTTCCTCCCCCGCCAGTGACCCCCGCACTTTCCCTCGGCTCTGAGCCCAGGTCTGGGACCCCTCGGGGATCCAACTGTCGCCCCGACTTCAGACCTCTGGGAAGAAGAGCTGAGTCAATCCTTGCCCTGTAGGAAGTCCCAGGGCCCCTCTGTAATGAATCCAATTCTTCCCGCCCCTTCTCCGAAACCCCGTAGGTCCATAAGAAAAGGAGACCACTGCCAAGCGAGAGCGTTTATCATTTCCGTAAACGCACATGTGACCCACACGTGACCTGCACATGTCAGACTGTTCTAGACACCAGGATGCCTCCCTAAACTAGATAAAAGTTCATTCCTTGGGACCAGCAGTTAGCGTAATGGCTATGTCGCTGGCCTCCCATGTAGCCAACCATAGTTCGAGTCCAGGACCTGGTGGCTTAAACTCACACCAGGAGTGTACGTGCGTGCCCAAGATCCTGAGAGGAGAATGGAGGAGAAGGCATTGCAGCGTGACCATCCCCCCTGGGGGGTGATTTCTATCTCTCTGTCTCTATGTCTCTGTCTGTCTGGCGAACGCACGCGCCCTATAGCGAAAAATCTCTCTCAAAAAAAAAAAAAAGTTCATCCCTCCTGGAACTTCCACGTTAGCGAGAGGAGAACAGACAACAAACATAAACAAGGACATCGTACACTCAGCCACGAGGTGCCACTGCCTGAAGCCAGAGCCACACAGGAGGCCCAGGTTCAGATCCCA